AACCCTGTAGTGTCTGCTTAATTCAGGGTGTCTGCTCTAAACAGGTTCTAATATTGTGCAGTTATAACTACAGTTAATTATTAACCCTTTTGTAACACAGTGTAAGATTAAAGACTGCTCATAGCACAATGTTGAGTCAGTCAATGCATCAATCTGGAATAATCTACTTAGCTTTTACAACGACGTCGCTGAACAATGTTAAAGGAGTCTGAGCTAAGCTTTTAGAAGTAAAAAAGCCCTTGAAGTGTCCAGTTATTGCTTATTAAGGACGTTCGCATGAAAATTTTCCAACATTGATTTTTTTCTGAGACTTTTACCACTGTAAGATTATGAGGTAATTATGTCAGAAATGTAAAAAAAAAAAAATGGGAGTCACCAACTTCCTTTTGGAGAGAACAAGCCCAGAAGAACACCCTAAATCTGAAAAAATTGGGCTTCATTAGCGATTAAGGTCACAGTGTCTGTAAGCCCAAAAATATTGCAATTATATCTTTGAAGTAAAATGTTCTCTGCCAGATATTGTTTAAGTGGACCTATTAAGTGAATTTAGTCAACTAGTGAGGTTCCTTAAAGAGCAAGTTGACATTTAGCGGCTATAGTTTCACGCGCCTAGCAGCCACAAGATGGCAGGATTCGATGTCTTGTGGACAGAAATCTTGAAATTTTTTTAACTTCCCATGTTGATTTTTTGTTCATTTTTGGACAATGTGGAGATAATTTTAAATAAAATCTGTTTCTGGAAAGAAAAACAGAGGTCACCGAACATCCAACATCATAAAATCCAGGCAAAGCTATGGCAATGGCCGTCTGCCCTATCATTGTTCATTTTGTTACTGAGCGCACACTCTCATGCATGATGTGGCGTGTGAATTTGCGTGCGCAGTGAGGATGCGCAGAAACAGTTAACGCGGACTTCCTTAACAGAGGTATCTGCTGAGTGCAGGTTTATTGTACAGTAAATCTGGGAAGAAAATTTGGGGACTCGAGGCAGTGTTCACTTGAAAGAGGGTGTCCGCTCAATATAGGGACCGCTTAATATAGGGTCCTCTTAATGCAGGTTTCACTGTATTTACAAAACTTTTATGGTAATCAACAGGTCCAGAAGTCAGTTGACAATCAGTTCAAAAAAGCTATTGAGCAGTATAGAGATGATCCTGATCTACAGAATGCTATTGATGCTGTGCAGGAGGGTGTAAGTAAAGGAATCATTTTTTCTGTTGTACATATTACAAATGTACGTAGAGTACGCCATGAACTGTGGAAGATGAAAGGCCAAGCTGAAGTCCTTGGGAAGAACAGTAAACACCTGCATCCCTAGGTTTTCAAATTTAAGTCACAATAATTGCTGTGTAGATCAAGCAAATTCGTT